CTTGTATGTGGTTTCTCCAGTTAAAGTTTCTCATGAACAATAACTCCGAGGAATTTAGTATTTTGTTCGCGTTTGAGGACTATATTTCAAAGGTACAGCGGGTTCAAGTCTGGAGGTAAGTTTTTTCTTCAGTGAAAGATTGTGATACCGCACTGTTTATTGATTTTACTGTGTATGGCTTGTATGTGGTTTCTCCAGTTAAGTTTCTCATCAACAATAACTCCGAGGAATTTAGTATTTTGTTCGCGTTTGAGGACTATATTTCAAAGGTACAGGGGGTTCAAGTCTGGAGGTAAGTTTTTTCTTCTGTGAAAGATCGTGTAGTGGGTTTTCTCAAGATTTAGGGTCAGTTTATTACGTATTACCCAGGTCCCGACTTTAGTTAATTCAGTGTTCATAGTTCTCATCAAGGAATGGAGGTCTGAGTTGCTGGCATAGAGATTACTATCGTCTGCAAATAAGTTGTATTTTATGAGTGGGCTGGCGTGGACTATGTCGTTTATGTACAACAAAAACAGTACTGGACCGAGAATTGAACCTTGGGGGACTCCATACAAGATAGGCAAGGAGTCGGATTGGTGGTTATTTTAACAGACATACTGCATCCTGTTGGACAGATATGAGGTAAACCAATTGTGGGACAGGCCCCTAACGCCGTAATGTTCAAGCTTTGAAAGTAGGATGGTATGGTCGACAGTATCGAAGGCTTTAGAGAGGTCCAAGAATATACCGACTGTGAACTGACTGTCATCAAAGGAATTTAAGATGTCGTTAGTAAAGGATAGCAGAGCACTCTCAGTCGACCTTCTAGCTCTAAATCCAAACTGGGAGTCTGTAAAGAGATGTCATTGGCATTGCAGAAGGAATTTAGTCTATTACATGCTATCTTCTCCAGTATCTTACTCAAGGCTGGGAGGACTGATATGGGGCGGTAGTTCTTGAAGAGACCTTTGTCCCCAGATTTTTTATATGCCGGGTGGACTTTAGCAATTTTCAGTTTATCAGGAAAGACACCACTAGTGAAGGAGGAGTTACAAATGTGGAGGAGAACAGGTAGTAATAAGTGGGCCACTTTCTTAATGATGCTCATTGGTATATTGTCTTCGCCTGCTGCTGCATCTTTGGACATTTTTATGATGGCCAGTAATTCATCTGCTGTGACAGGGGATAAGAATAATTCATTTTGCTGTCTGTTTTGCAGGTAGGCTCTTAATTCCTCATGGTGATCAGGGATGCTCTCTGCAAGATTTTTCCCAACATTAATAAAATATTCATTGTAGTGGTTGGCAATGAGGGAGGGTTCCGTTATAATTGAATCGTTTATCATAAAAGCTGAGTGGGGAGCCGAAGGCTGAGTGTTCCTGTTCTGAATAGAATTTATGACATTCCAGGTTTTCTTAATATCGCCTTTGCAAATTTCCTTTGGAGTTTGTGTTTTTCCTTTATCATTATCTGAATTTCGCTTGTGATATAGGGTTTGGAAATGTATACAGTTTTCACTGACTTAGTCTTGATCGGGAAGCATTTATCAAAGCAAGCATTGAAGATGCTAGAGAAGTTACAGCTGTTCACGTTAGGGTTGTTGGAGGCATAGACAAGATCTCAGTTAGCATTCATTAGGTTGTTTTCAAAAAGGAGCATGTTGTCGGCGCAGTAGTCTCTGTATTGATTTGAGACTACTAGACCTTTCAGGTCTTGTGGCTGTTTTATACATGGCAAAAACTGGGAAGTGATCTGAGATATTGTTATAAATAATTCCACTTGCTAGGTTGTTAGGAGTGTTGCTAGTCCAGATATGATCTATGACAGAGGCAGAGGTGGTAGTTACTCAGTGGGTTTGGGTTATAGTGTTGAAGAAGAGTTTAGAATGACAGGTAGCAAGAAGGTCTAATACTGAGGTGTCGGTTTCTGATTTTAATAGACAAGGTTGAAATCTCCTGTGATGTAGCAGTCTTTCCTCTCTGAGCTTATGATAAGAGATAAGCTCCAAAAATTTATCAAGAAAATTCCTTACATTAGTGTGGGGTCTTCTGTAGATTATCCCTACTAGGATATTTCGTGTGTCGTTACGTAATTCAATGAAAACACTCTCCATGTACTCCTCCTGAACCTTTAAATCATCTCTTACAGAAGTGTTATACTTGATATCAACATATAGGGCGACACCACCACTGTGTCATGACGTGTTGACTCAGTGTCTATTATAATTAGGAATGTTATACAAATGGTCAATATCATTAGTGAGTTTGGTGTCACAGAATCCAAGTACATCAAATTTGTGGGCAATAGAAGATAAACACTGATCTAAAAAGGTATCTAGATGAAGGGGAATACTGCTGATGTTATGGCTAATCAAGGAGAAGGAATGAGGTGGTAGGAGACTAGAACTAAACTCGGGGGAGTCATGAAAGTAATAGTTACAGTTTGGGTTGGTGTAACCCAATGAGTTTTGTAGAAAGACATCAGGACCGATATGAAGGGGTATTGTGTCGACACCATGGATAAATGGGGTGTAACACATATGATCTAGCACATCTAAGGGAATGACACTAGTATCATTATTGTGGGGACATTGATACTGATTGAGGAACAGTAAAAACTCAGGGTCACTGAGGTGTGAAAAAGGAAGATCTAAGAGCATTATAATAGTGGGGGGGGGGTAACGTACTCACAAGTGCAACAACCAACAGAATTAGGATGACTGTTGAGGGTGATTCCCAGATGGAGTGGGAGGTGCTCCTGTCACTCGGGTTTGAGGGTTGCTGGTTTTCACCACAGAGGGTAGACGTGTGGTACTTGAGTTGGCCGACAGGGGGGGAAATTCCGCAAGTAATAGCGACGGTGGCTGGTTCCCCCTCGATAGGGAGGGGGTTCTCGAGGGGCTTGGTACAGCGGGTGGGTGAGTGGGCGGGTGTCCACTTGCCCAATCCCTCACAACAAGAGTTTTATGATTGAACGTCACGTGTTTCCCTTGTTTCCTGGCTTCTTTAAACTGGTCCATTTGCTGTAGACGGGCTTTAGTCGTACCTGGGCAGAGATCCTCGTTGACGAAGATAGTGGTGCCTTTCAGTTTATTGCGTTGATAAAACACTTTGTCCCGGTCAGAGGGGGACGAGAATTTTGTTATGATGTCGCGGGGGCGGGATGAGTTGGGTTTCCCGACGCGTTGAACACGGTCAAACTTTACTTCAGGAAGTTTAAAATAGTCATCCAGCAAGTGTGAAATTTTGCGTTGGGATAACTCCCAGTTCTCGTGGGTGTCTTCAGGAATACCGGCAATCCTGAGGTTGTTTCGCCGCCCCATGTCATCCACATAATCCACCCGGTCTGCTGTTGGCGTTAGTTCCGCTTGGAGCTTGGAATTTTCCTCTCTCAGCTGTTGAACTTGGATCTTGAGTGTTCGGTTATCTTTAGCTTCAACGTTCAACTTTACTTTTAAGTCACTTATTTCATTTTGTGAGAATTCCAAGCTTCTTTTAATCTCACTTAGCTGGTCAGTGAGATGCCGGTCAGCCTCTTCTAGCTTCCTGGTGGTCTCCTTATTCATTTGTTGTATGACGTCCTGTATGAGAGTCCGCTGGACTCCCATTATCACATCAGTCAGCTGTTGTTTCGTGAAATTGGAATTTTTGATACTAACAGCCAAGTTAGACATATTGAATATTCACAAGACATACTGTATAGATTGTTTGGGGATTTGGCAATTTCCACTATGTGCTTTCATAGTTTTTACTGCCCCTGTTGTATTGCTCCTCTGTGTGGTTTTCTGCTGCACATTCACATCTAAAGCTCTTTAATACTGTAGTGTTTTTAGAATAGCAAAGTTTCTTTGTGATGGTGAATTATTGTGTGATATCTTTCATTGTCATGCTGTCAGAAATTTGTCCATTCTTTTTATAATGTATGTATGGGTATGAACTGTCTCGTAAACTGGGTACGAGTTATCTTGTAAATGGGTACAACTTTTCATGTTCTGATTGGTACCACTTGCTCAAGTACAGGTTGTCCAGCACTGCTTGAAGAGATATGTCAACTCACCTGCATGTTTATGTACAAGATAATTGATATTCCAAGAGTAAGAAATGTAAATTTCTTATAGCCAGCACAAATTACGAAGAAATGACGATACCTGTACTACATTGAAGCTCAGCCTAGTCAGCCTCATCATAAAGGAATGTGGCTCTATTTATCACCTTACCAATTATTTTAAACAGCACAACAGCAGAGAACCAAACTGGGGCACAATATTGAAGGATGGGTAACAAATTAAGTAATTTTTTTTATTAACATTCTGAAACATTAAATCGTTTACAAAATATAGCAATTGAGAAAATGCTGACGAGGCTACAGAATAAATGTGATTAGGTTAGGAATTCTCATCTAAATAGTATCTTGCTAAAAGGTAAGGCCATATTTTAGGATGGATGAATATGTGCCTTTCCTTGTATAACTGTCCTTCTCTTGAATAAGGCTAACAAGAGCACTGCACTGTTTAAAGGATAGCGGTATGCTCAAGTTCATGGCTATTCATATTTCCCGCACCTTCTCACTCCGTATTGTGTCAGCTGACTCGCTGTACACTATTCCTTGGCCATCCCAGTGTGGCCAACACCCGGTAAAATATAACCTTCAAAACAAACCTCACAAACAGTAAAATAATATACTCGCCCCACACAAGCATATGGTGCCCAGTGGCCGGGCATGATGACTGAAAATACGGCCCAAAGTTCAAACCCGAAACCATTAATCCTTTTGCTGCTTCGGTTCACACACAAATAATCTTGTGTCCTCTGTAGATAAGCAGTCAGGTAGGGGCAGATAACCATCCAGCGTGATTCATGTGGTAGTTGATCTGGGCATGCTGCCTCAACCTTCCTTGCCAACTGTCCCCTACTCCCCACACTTCTCTTCTACTTTTGCCTTTACTTTATAATTTTTGCTGTAATGTAAAAAGTTAATTGAATGTTGTACTTAAATAACTTTTATCTTTTTTTCTGCAGGGTTTCATCAAGGTGGTCAAGAACAAGGCGTACTTCAAACGCTTCCAAGTGAAGTTCAAGAGGCGCCGCGAGGGCAAGACTGATTATTATGCCCGCAAACGCTTGGTTGTACAGGCTAAAAACAAGTACAACACCCCTAAGCATCGGTGAGTAGTGTGTGTGTACTAAACGGTATGTTTGAAGAGTTTACGTTGTTTTATAGTACCATTGGTGGTTGATATGAGGATATTCTGCAGTCAATTATGTAGTAGGTAAGTTTTAATGGTCGAGATGCAATTTTGTCTCTGAGGAGTAGATTCTCATCCATTTTTTCTGCAAATCATGTAAAAAAAGCCTGCAGGAAGTCCTGTGGGCAGTAGCTCAATGAAATGTTTGAGTGAGGACTATGGTGCTGATACATCCACTATATGATTTTAAGAAGCAAAAACAAAAGCTATTTGGATTCTATGGTGTTAATGATTTACTGCAGTTATTGGATAATAGGAAAACACTATCGGGCTAAAAATTTTAGTATAGACGGGGTTAATGTAGTGGACACCCATTGTCTCACTCCCTCATCTTAGCTGAAGCAAAACGTCTAGTTTCACTTTCACTAAATTCACTTTTGGTACTTGTTGTACAGTACATATTACTGCAGGAAAATTAATTTGATCAGTATTTTCTCTCATGACTACTCACCAATTGTTTTCACTATTATATTTGTCCAGTAAGTGGTATTTGAACTTTTCTAAATGAAGTGTGTTTTCTGCAGCATGATTGTCCGCATCACCAATACGGACGTCATTGCTCAGATTGCATATGCCAGAATTGAGGGTGATGTTATCATTGCTTCTGCCTACTCTCACGAACTACCCAAGTATGGTGTCAAGGTTGGGTTGACCAACTATGCAGCTTGCTACTGCACCGGTCTGCTACTTGCTAGGAGGGTGAGTTAACATTTTATTAATGTTTATTAAGCCTCTATTCTGTACGCGTGTAGGGATCATTGTGTTGTTTTGTACCTGTCTCATCACATGCAGTTTTGACCCACAAGTTATAGGATTTAACCAAGACATTATACAGTTACTAAATTTTTAAACTTCTATGTATAGCACCTCTAGTTTTATAAATACAGTAAGATCTCATATTTCGCGAACACTACCTAATGTAACCAAGTCTTGTATTTGGCGTAAAATATCATGATTTTCGCGAGATCCAGTCACCTGAACGCTGTAATATTTTATGTTGGAGCATAAGTATATTTTTGGGTTGGAATAATGAGGAACACTCTTTGGAATGATGCAAATAAGGTGCAAAAGGTTAAGAAAAAATCAACGAATAATCGAACAAAACAATTCGGAAATTGTCGATTAATGTCAAAATGTACTGTATACAATACACTATAAAATAAGAAAAATGAAGAGCCTGGGAGTGTATGTGCTTTTTTTGATGGTGCTACCACCTGTCAAGTCAAGATAATGGTCTCTACCTTTACTGAGGGTCCTACTGGTGCTGGTGGGACAGACCCACCTAAGCCGCCAAATAAGGAAAGGGAGAAGCAGGACTGTTGTAAGGGAGTTAAGTTTGCCAAGTCTTGATGCAGGTTAAGCAGCGCGTGATTAAGTTTCTTGAGGAAGGCCTAAAAACTAGTGAGATAAGAAAGATTACTGATTTTCCAGAAAGCACAATCAGGTCAATAAAGGCAATTTGTATCATTTGGAGGTTATAAACAGGAAAATCAGAGGTTGATGTAGAGTGGCCAGTCTATATTGTTATTTTTCCCTTTAGTTTAAGTATTTGTATTTGGTGCAATTTTTCCAGTCTATATTACTTGCAAAATACAAGATCTTACTGTACTTCGGTAGTCATCACACTATGTGCACTTTTAAGTGTTCATAGACCCTCATTATAGCACAGTTCGATACTACACATAATATAACATAGCATTCTAATAATCCCAATTTTTTTAACTGCAGTCACTCTTGATATTGTTTGGTATAAAGGGGTATTAAGATGCCATGATATATATTTGTGATGAGAAAATTAAAATAATCACCTTCAAAATCCCTAGAGCTGCCCTTCTAACTCCAAGCAATGATATATCTTCTCTAGTCTAACTACTCAAAATCCACATTGTAAGCTTTTTTATTTTTTGTACAGAAATTTACAGTTTTAAGCACTACAGTATTTGCTCCATAGTAATTTGGATTTGTACTTATTGTACACTGAGTAGCTTGATTTTTTCTGGTGGAAATGTTTATTTTTGGGGTATCTTATGATTTCACATTTAGTGGTTTCAAGTTATTTATTTATTTATTTTTAAGTGACTGGAGATATTTGATCTTTTATATATTGTAATCTTTACATTCATTTTTCAGGTTCTGAAGAAGTTCAAGCTCGATGGCATTTATGAAGGGCAGAAGGAAGTTGATGGGGAGATGTACAGTGTGGAGGATGTAGATGATGGGCCAGGGGCTTTCCGTGCCAATCTGGATATTGGTCTAGCACGCACCACTACTGGTGCCAGGATTTTTGGTGTCATGAAGGGTGCTGTGGATGGTGGTATTGAAGTTCCCCACAGGTATTATTTCAGTTTACCTAAACATTTCTCATAAGTATTTGTGGTTCTTTGTCCAAATACTGCACATTAAGTAACTTTAAAGTTAATGGGAAGTTTTCTGAAAAGTAATGTGTATTTACTTTTGTTCAGTGAGAAGAGATTCCCTGGGTATGACAAGGAGACAAAAGAATTTAATGCCTCCGTTCTGCGTGATCACATCATGGGAAGTCACGTTGCCCATTACATGCGGGAACTCATGGAGTCTGATGAAGATGCTTACAAGAAGCAGTTCTCTCGTTTCATCAAGCTGGGCGTCACTGCTGATGAGGTAACCCGTTGCTTGATAGAAATTATATTTAATGGGAATTTATGTAATGAATCTTACACATTTCAGTACAGTCTTGGGTTTTGTTTGTTAGTTTACTACTGACACCTGAAAATTAATTAAGTATTCTTATGTAACCAATAATAATGGTATAGGTGGGGCACAGGTTTATCAATTGTATAACTTGTAGAGAAATTGCTAATCGAGTTTTCTTTTGAAACAGTTGGAAGAAACATACAAGAAGGCCCATGCTACTATCCGTTCTGACCCAACACCCAAACCTAAACCAGAGAAGAAGGTAAGGCTTATCCTGTCTATAATTTATCATCCACATGTATGGAAGTTGCATTATTTTAATTTGTTGATTCTTTTTAAATTTGATATTGTTAGCTGAAGAGAGAAAAATGTGGCTGACAGATTTAAAGACGTGTTTAATACTGGGTGAGCACATGTAAATGAGGATGGGAAGAACAGTACAAAGGGGGAAGATAATGAGATAGAAAGGTATTAGAGTTTTAAAGGAAATGGGAAGTTATTTTATAGGGGGGGGTGACTTGGCAGGGGAAAATGAAAATCAAAGAGGAAAATGTTGAAGAAGAGGATAGGAGAGGTAGGAATATTTATTTCATATACCAGTAGCTGATAAAAGCATCACAGGAGAGAGGGATAGAGTTTGTGAGGGAATGGTGGAGTGAAAAGTGTTAAAGAAAAGGTGGGGCCAAGATGCACCAAGTTATCTGGGGTAAAGTAGAGAGGTGATAAATTGTATGGCAGGTGTACAGGGAAGAGTACTGTATGAGAGAAATGGGATGTATAGTTTCTCCGAATAAATTTAAAAATAAGAATGAAGGACAGGAATAAGTCTGCTAAACTGTATACACAAGAGAAAAGGTGTGGCAGTCATTTTCATGTAAGTTATAACAAAAAGTGCTTTAAGGGAAGAGCAGTGGTTGGTTAAGAAAAGCATTTTGGTGAGTGGATTAAGTGTTTGGATTTAGGCACAAGACTAGAAAGTTATTGGATAAACGGAAGAATTCTTTGTGGCATTTAATGGGCTAGGAGAAATACATAAAAGGGTAGTAAAGTAGTTTTTGTTGGGAAGAGGGAAAGTGTTTGGCAGTGGAGGGAGGAACAATGCGAGTGAGTCTGTATTTTTAATAGGTAGTGTGGTAGGAGAGATATAGTAAGCAAGAGTTATGGCCATGGGTAAACTTTGGTCAATAATATGGGAAACATATGTGATTTAAAGCCATTGCCTTTGAAATCTTGTGCAAGGTGAATATTTTGTAAGGTTCTTCCATTATCTTAAACTAAGCTTTAGATGGCTGTTGAGATATTTATTAAGTTATATTGACTTATTTTTTTGATTATAGTGCATTTTTTTCTCAGTTGAGAAAAGATGCCCTGCCCCCTCCTCAAGAGTTACAGCTGATTGGCTGTTGCAAACCTGTCCGATTTTTTCCTGAAGTAATGATGTATTAAACGAGTTTATTCATAATCATTGGGATGACCTTTTCTGACGAGAAAGATATTTAGCTAAATTATTTAAAGATACATAGTACATTCATTATTTCAAACATAAGCACGTTGGAAGTTTATCGGAAGTATTATACTGTACATGAATTAACTGTTAAACTCTGGTAGCAAATTCACGCTTTCGGAGGATGCATTTAATATATACATATTTTTTACCTACAATAAGACATACTAAGACAAATTACATATCAATAATAGTACATTGTGCAAAAACAACGTTTTAAAAGATCTGAATCACATTGAAATATTACACGGCCGTCAGCAGAGGCGAGAAATATGAAGTTGTTCGCAGTCATATTTCTCGCCTCTGATTCATGTACAGTATAATACTTCTGATAAACTTTCTACATGTTTATGTTTGAAATAATGAATGTATGTATTTTTATATAATTTAGCTAAATATCTTTCTCATCAGAAAAGGTCATCCCAACGATTATGAATAAACTCGTTTAATACATCATTACTTCGGGACAAAATCAGACAGGTTTGCAACAGCCAATCAGTAGCTCTTTGGGGGGGGGGGGGCTTCTTTTCTCAGCTGGGAAAAAATGCATTTTAGTAATATGAAAAATTTATTTGTGAGTATAATTTCTATGCAAATAACATGTATCTGTTGAATAGGTTACCAAGAAGAGGTGGAATGCCAAGAGGTTGACTTATGATGAACGCAAGGCAGCAATTCAAGTTCGTAAGGATGCTTGGTTGGCCAAGATTGAGAGGGGTGAAGCCACACTAGAAGAGCTGCGTCCTCCCAGGCACAAATAAACAGTTTTACTCTGGTTGATATTGTTTCAAACACCTTTTTATTTTTGCTTTGTAAATTCTGAGATGCATGAAAATGATGAATGGTAAAGAATATATGAACTTGGGTCACAGTATCCAGCAGTTCAGGTGTTACAAACATCGGAGACTAGTACATAAGAAAATAAGGAGTCTGCAATAGGCCGGTTGGCCTGTGCATGGCTGCTTCTGTCGAGAGTTACTACCACTCTCTATCATCCATGAATCTATCTAGCCTCCTTTTGAAACTTTCCAGAGTTCCAGCACTTACTACAAAGTTGCTAAGCTTGTTCCACTCATCCACCACCCTATTTGTGAACCAGTTTCTTCCTATCTCCCTCCTAAACCTAAACTTATCCAACTTGAATCCGTTGCTCCGAGTCCTATCCTGCTCGGATATTATAAGAACTTTATCTATATCCCCTTTATTGATTCCTTTCACCCACTTAAATACTTCTATCATATCTCCCCGCACTCTTTGTTAGTAGTGACTTGGTATATGCCACTTAATATATGGGTACATCAATACATTTATATTGTGACCTTTATTTATATGTACAATAAATAATTTACATATACTTTTGTAAGCCCTTTAGGGCAGATTACAGTAATGTTGTACAGCTCCTTTCAGAAGTTAGTTGGTTATACACCTGAGGTGAAGGACGCATTTCCTGTTGCACCACTTCATAGACGTCGGATCAGTCTGATTTGAACACAGACTCCTCAAAAGGATATGAATGTCAGCCAGCGTTAGTGCTGTTGGATGATGATGTAATATCCTTCTTACAAGAATAAAACATTGGTAATAGGAGTACCTATTTCAATATCAGAATATGTAGTGAGGAAATAGGCTTTGATTAAATTTAACAATGGTTGAACACTGTTCATAATTATAAACAGTGTTCAACTATTTTGTAAAGTATTTATTCAAAGCCTATTTCCCCCCATTGTATTTTGATATTGAAATAAATACTTCTATTACCAATGTTTTATTCTTGTAAGCAGGATATTCATCATCCATCAGCACTAACACTGGCAGATATTCATATCCTTTTGAGTCTTCATTGGAATCAGACTGTTCCATTATTAGTTCCATTTGGTGTGTTGGTGAGAGGGTTGGTGTAATGATCTGATGTCTATGAAGGGTGCAACAGGCAATGCATCCTTCACCACTGGTGTATAACCAACTTCTGAATGGAGCTGTACATTCATTTTCATTTTTTTATGGCAATCATTTCCTCAAGATCACACCTGGATACCTTAGTCACTTGATTTTTCACTATTCTCAAGAAAATGATTCCTGGTGATACTGAAATGGTGCTCCCCTGGAGATGGAAAATAGGCAATGCTTCTTCACTTGGCGACACATTCTTGCTGGTCCACATGCAAACACTCCAACCTTGTTCCTGTAGATGATAAACAAGTTTTGTTTAATATCCTCTCGCTCTCCCATACACATATTATACATAATTAAATGTTGATACCGGTAATAGGTTTTAGTATTAGGGGTTGCTGTGCTTGACTTTCTTAGTTATCTTTTAAATATTACATCCATATCTGCCATACTCATTACAGTACCATACTTGGATTCCCAGTTGAGGTGACAGGGGTCTGATAATATATGTGGATTCTGAATAATCATCTGTGAATGAGGCTGATTGAAGGCTAACTGTATACTTTCTTATACTATAATCACAAAAGTGATACCCTGGGTTAACATCTTAGCTAAGTAAGGAACACCGGAAAATACCTGTGGATGGGTGTGAAAATCTGGATAATGCATCCCAATAGTAGTATAGTCAACCCTCGCTTTACGCGGTCCCACATTACGCGTTTACGTGGTACCCTGCCGAAACCGGAATGCTCACATTCCGCGGTGAGTGTACCCCTTTACGCGGAGAGCGGCTGGCGAGCCGCGCCATTTTTGGATCCAAACCTCCAGCCATCTGCCATGTTGTGTAAGCGGCGCGAGCAGGGTGCGCACAAGGTCGCCCAGTCATCAAAACATTACAGAGTTCTTCACCCACCACAGCCGGCCCAAGTCAGTGATAGTGAGGATATGGACTTTGAGGGGTTTGACAAAGAGGCCCTGCAAGCCTCTGTGGTGGATAGTGATACTGGTGAGGTCCAATAATCTGCCCTCTGCCTCGGAACCAACGCCCCCATCCCCGTGTGCCCAGCCATCTTTTCTACTAATGTAAGTGTTAAAAAACCTAATATTATTTATATTTCTCTTAATTATTAATTGTGTGTGCATACCATCATAAAATTAAGAAGTTATTTTTACTACAACGTAGGTATTGTGTCTGAAAAAGTGGAGTTTGGGGGTCGGCCCGGTCTCTATTTCAATTAATCCCATGTTATGTTGTTCACTTTACGCGGGCCGCCGTGGGTTGAATTAACCGCGTAAAGTGAGGGTTCACTGTACAGTAAAAAAAAAGTACCAGAACGCCTGATTAAGGACACAAATCTTGGAAAAATTCATTTAAGAATTTGAAATAATATCTTGCTGGTCATTTATTGTTGAGTGATGCAGCATGAACCATGTGGTCCCACCAGCCCAGTGCACAAGTACTTGTTCTACCATGACATAAATAACACATTAGTGAGAACAATACCCAGGCAAGTACATGTGAGTAAGGACCCAAAGAGGAGAAAGCACCTTACTGTCGAGGATAAGCACTGTTCCAGAGATACTGCGGAAATCTGGAACTGAATTTACGGAGAGAATATCCACCAAAAGTGAAAGTGGGTCCCATACAACACCCACATAATCTTCTCTCCAGAGCACACATCACCATGCAACTGTGGGCTTGAGATGCTACAAATTGCCATTGATTCTTGTAATGAAACTAAAATTTGTGGGAAAATTATTCGTATTCTAATGTGACTTGGAAATAAAGGAAATCTAAAACTATAAAAAAGAAAAATGAAGAGCAGGAGTGAGTAGTAGAAGCATAGGAGGTGAACGTATGTTTGGATGTATCGTGCTCTCCCTAATATGATACATCACATCATACACAGTGTAGCAGGAACACATCTCTCAAATCAGCTGGCTGGCTGAACTTGTCCACTCTTGCCATCAAGGGCAGGAACCATTTTTTTGTACATGAAATACGTGCAATTACATTTTATGATGTACAGTCGGCCCTTAACATACACGGGTTTAGCATACACGGATTTGCAAATAAGCGGATTGCCCCGCAGTAGGAATATTCTGTTCATTGAAGTAATTGAAGTACATTCAACTCGCGCGCGGCACCGAACACGGGACACCGCCCACTCCCTCAACCTCACACACACACACACACGCATAGCTCTCCCTCACTCAGTCAGTCAGTCTCGCTGTAACCACGCTTGTGTTGACAGCATTGTAGTTGCAAAAACATTACATTTCCGTGAATGTATTATATCAAGCACAGTATGAATAGAATATCACTAATATAAGAGTATTTTAACCGAAAACTACTAAAAAAACGAATAACATATCTTGAACATCGGAAGGTCAGGTAAAGTCTTTTGTTTTCATGTAGTTTATCCTAATTTACATTGAAATGCATTACGTTTCAGCAAAACTACTATTTATTTCTGAGAATATGGAAATGTAATATTTTGCTGAAATGACGTACGTATTACAGTGGAAAGTGACGAAAGCAATGACTCGCTTTCTTTCGTTCAAAAGATGTTCCCGTAATCGCTTTTTGAATGGTTTTCAGTTAAAAAACTGTTGTATTACAATAATATTCTATCCTAATTCACTTGTGATGCAACAGTTTTTTTAACTGAAAACCATTCGAAAAGCGATTACGGTAACATCTTTTGAACGAAAGAAAGCGAAAGTCATTGTTTTCGTCACGATTTCATCCCACTTTCCACTGTAATACGTACATCATTTCAGCAAAAATATTACATTTCCGTGAATGTAGTATATCAAGCACAGTATGAATAAATATCATTGTAATATAACAGTATTTTAACCGAAAACTATTAAAAAAACGAGTAACATCTCTTGAACATCGGAAGGTTAGGTAAAGTCTTTTGTTTTCGTCATGTATTTTATCCTATTTTACATTGAAATACATCACGTTTCAGCAAAACTACTATTTATTTCTGAGAATATATTCATTCAGGCACAGTTTAGGTAAAATATACATGTGCTGTAACATTATTTTAATTGAAAACGATTCGAAAAACACGTACTCTCTAGCCCTGTTCAAGGAGAAGACTGGGAGGAGCTGTTTGGTGCTTAAGACGATGACAAGGAAAATGATTTTGATGGATTTTAATGAAAATATTCAGAAAGACCCTGGCACTGTCAAGGAAAGTGGCTGCTGAAGGCTTCCAGGACATGGCAGAGGATGAGATTAGGGAGCTAATTGAATAGCACGACACTGAGCTGACCGAGGAGGATCTACAGGAGTTAGTAGACTCAGGCAAGGAAGAGGAAGGGAAAGAGGATGAGGAAGAGGAAGAGCACCAAGAAATAATGTTGGAGAAGTTGGGGGAGATGACCAGGAATATTGAGGCACTGAAAAACCTGGCCTATAGTATGGACCCCTCCATGGTGCGTGCCCTGAAATTCATGCGAGGGATGGATGACGTTTTTGCTCCATACAAAAACATCATGGAAGAAATGAAAGAAAGAGACGACAACTCCCCATCACCATGTTCTTTGATCACCGAAGGAGAGATTTAACACCATCAATCACTGGCGGCAGTGAGGAAGCAGCTGAATCCACCGTCGCCCCCACTTCACCACCCGTTATGGAATTGAGTGACGATGAGCCCGATGACCCCCGTCCTGTCGCCGAGGATAGGTACTGTACAGTAAAGTGAAATTTTTATCTCTTTTTTTTAATAGCTTTTCTTGCCATGTTTATTGTTTGTAAAAATGCACAGTAAAGTTCAGTACTGTACATAGGAAGTGGAGGTGCAGTTATTCACAAAACATTTGTGTTCGTTGTCGGCAGTAGTGACGGGGAGGAGGGAGTGAGTTGGGAGGAGTGGTGACCTTGGACGCGGGAGCAGGGACGAGTGGAGATGCCAACCAGTACATTTCGGGTGTATTAATTGTTTTTATAGCCATTTTTGCATTTTAATATTAAATACTGTACATTACGTTTCAACAAAACTACCATTTATTTCTGAGAACATGGAAATGTTATATTTTTGCTGAAATGATGTACGTATTAATGAAAAGTGGGATAAAATTGTGACGAAAGCAATGACTCTTTCTTTCGTTCAAAAGATGTTGCTGTAATCGCTTTTCGAATGGTTTTCAGTTGTGGGATTATAAGGCTAACGATAGGATAGAATATTATTGTAATACAGTACGAGTACAACAGTTTTTTAACTGACAACCATTCAAAAAGCGATTACGGTAAAATCTTTTGAATAACGAAAGAAAGCGAAAGTCATTGTTTTCGTCATGATTTTATCCCACTTTCCACTGTAATATGTACGTCATTCCAGCAAAAATATTATATTTCCATATTTATTTCTGAGAATACATATATTCACTCAGTCACAGCTAAGGTAAAATATACTTGTGATGTAATATTTTAATGAAAATACGGTATCGTAGTTTCTTTTGTTTCAAATTTAATTAACAAAGATTGATGTTGCAAATGTAATGAACAAAAATTTATGTACAGTATCTATAAATACACTTTAATAAATGAATACAGTTATGCCCTTTACAGTCAATTGAACCCACAGGGTACTGTTAAGTGAAAACGTTAAGTGAACAACAGAACATATGGGATTAATTCCAATAGAGACTGGCCCGACCCCCAAACTCCACTTTTTGACAACACACAACTATGTTGTAGTAAAAATTTTATCTTAACTTTATGATGGTATGAACAAACAAGTATATAGAAGAGGTTAGGTTAGGAAAAATAAAGGTTAAGTTAGAAAAATAAAGGTTAGGTTAGGAAAACTAAAAGTTAGTTGAACACTTACGTTAGTAGAAGAGATGGGTCGGCATACGGGGATGGGGCGGGAGGAGGAGGAGAGGCAAGGCAGGCGGGTGGCGGGTGGGGCGGAATCTAAAAATAGCGTCTCAAGCCGGACACTCTGCGCGTATATGGGTAGATGAACCGCGTTAAGTGAAAGTTCGGTTCTGGCGAGGCACCGCGTATATGAGAAATCGCGTTAAGTGAAACCGCGTAAAGCGGGGTACAACTGTACTTTGTTTTACATCGTCCTGTGCTACCATACCATGGATTTGGCTACTTTGGGCTTGCTATGATGATGCAAGAGATCTGCTCTGGCAACTGTACCGACACACAGCTGGTAGTGCGTTGGTGCATCGTTTCCATTGTTTACTGGTAGTTACTGGCAAATATTTTTCAACCTAACGAAACTATTACCCTCTTAGAGGTCGACCCCCAATTTTTTGCCAAATAATTTGGTCTTAAAAACTCGAACTACACACAGGTATATATGGTAAATAAGGACATGGGGGGCCAGGGGTTTTTTTGGAGGCGGGGGGGGGGGCAGCACATATACGCGGATTTTTAACATCCATGGGTATCTCTGTTACGTAACCCCCGTGTATGTTAAGAGCCGACTGTACTGTACTATGAATTATTTTCATTGTTATAACATTTTTGGTGCATTATAAGTAAAATACAAACTAACAAAGGACTGCAATCTATTCCTTTTTATTTATAGTTTAATTTTTACCTATGACTACGAAGTTCCCAAGAACAAAGTGGATTTCATGAACATATCCACTTCATTGCCAGAGGTATGCTGTACACATCCACTTTATCTCACACTGCACAAGGGCATTCGTGCCACGTGCCCTTAAAAAATCTAATTTGCGACTGTAAAGTTTCTAGAATCTATAACCTTGGCTACATCTATTAACACTTTAAATAAAAAAACCCAACAATTTACTAAGGTTTATCTTAAGTATGATTATTTCACTACAACAAATTTATTGTGAGCTTAAATAAGCCAATCTGCATTAGCATAATGTGCTGGCTGTTGTTTGGAACAGCTGTGCTTCCCTTGTGATATGGACATCTGAAAAATGGATTCCATCTGAGCAACAACATCCCTGTGGCTTAATTAGTCTGGTACTTTTAAATTTTACTGTACTGTAGTTTATATCCAAGAGCATGTATAAGTGTAGTACAGTATGTGTTAACACTTCAAGTAACTGGAAGGTTTACAAGGAAATACTGTACAGTATAGATAACTTACCCTACATAGGCCTGCTGCCACTCTCGGAACAGATGCTTCCAAACTGGCCGACCTTGGGTGATCCGGGGTAGCAAGCCTGGGTGTTCCTCAGCAAACAGTTCCTAGATAATTAAAAGAAGAATGAATGAGGGATTGACCCGATAATCCTGATTTCTAAAAAACTTAAGATAGGCAACTTTGAATAAGTAAAAAGTCTATGAGGGAAAAACTAGGTTCTCTAACCCAAAACATGCTATTGTAATCTAAAAATTAATTAAATACAGGTGCTCCTCTACTTACGAACGAGTTACGTTCCTGAGGCTTGTTTGTAAGTCCAACTTTACTCTTGTAGATACCAAACATATTGTAAAAAATGAAAAGATTACGGATATTTAGTACAGCTATACCCTTTAATACAGCATTAAAACCTGGCTCACTCTTCTCCTCTTACGTAATGTTTGTTCTATCTGGAATTTTCTTCAAAATAATCCAGTCTCATCCACATTAAACACCTGTTCTGGCAGGTAACCCCCCCCCCCCCAATGATGATGTTTGTATCTGAAAGTTTGTAAGTTGAACATTTTTAAGTAGAGGAGCGCCTGTATGAAAATTTATTACATACCCCTCACTTTCACAATTGATTTCAAATAAAAAACACAGTACAGTGGTCCCTCGGTTAACAAGCACAATCCGTTCCAGCAGGTTGCTCGTTAACCGAAACCGTTGTTTCAATGGGTTTTTGGGTAATTGGTTCCAGCTCACCGAAAATTGCCTAAATTCAACAAAAAAAGGTAGAAATGTACACTTATTTTGAGGTGTGTATGTAGAAGGCTCCTGGATGATGATGATGATGATGTGAATTTGAAGTGGGAGGTGGAGGAGGAGAAGGGAGAAGAGAAGGAAGTGGAGGTGGAGGAGAAGCATTTTACTGCTTCTTGGAAGGTGAGTCACCTTCCATGAAAATGTCAGGAACCTCTGGACTGACAGATTCTCCACCATGAACATCCTCTCTCCTCCTTGAAGTGGAAGGCTGAGGGCTAGCATCATCCTCTCTCCTTCTTGAAGTGGAAGGCTGAGGGCTAGCATCTTGTTCCCTCTGCCTTTTACTGAAGAAAGTGTCAATTGTGGTCTGTGGGGCATCTCTCCTCATCATTAACTTATGTTTAAAGAAGGAGACCATTGTGTCCTCAACATGACGCAAAGTTAGTTCAGATTTTTCCACATCTGGGTGCCTTGAAGCCAGTTTCCTGAACTTCTCCCAGTAGTAATTAATATCTTTCAACTCTTTAGTTGACATATGGTCATCACTTTCCTTTTCCTCCTCACCATTGTCAGCCTCTAACATCTCATCCAGTTGCTTCAAGTCTTCAGGAGTAAGTTCCTCCTCATGAGACATCACAAGCTCTTCGACATCTTCCTCCTCCACTTCAAGGCCCAATGACTGACCAATGGACACAATCTCCTGGTCCAACTCTGTTTCTTCCTCAAATCCCTCAAAATCATGGACTACTGATGGCCACAGTGCTTTCCATAAAGAATTGAGGGATCTAGTGGAGACTTCTTGCCATGATGACACAATCAATTTTACAGCCTCCAGGATGTTGAATTGTGTCTTCCAGAACTGTGCCAGTGTTAGTTCAGAATCAGTGGAAGTTGCCTGATGACACCTCCTAAACATTTTCTTCATGTACAACTTCTTGAAGTTGCTGATCACATTCTGGTCCATTGGCTGTATGATTGATGTTGTGTTGGGAGGCAAAAACAACACTTTCACAAAGTCAAATTGATACTCCAAAGTTCTGGCAAGTTCAGGGTCATGCCCAGGGGCATTATCCATGAGGAGAAGAGCCTTTAAAGGGAGTTTATTGGTGGTTAGGTAGCTCTTCACAGAAGGGCAAAACACCTCAACAGCCCATTCATTAAAGAGCTGTCTTGTCACCCATGCCTTACAGTTGGGCTTCCAATAAACTCCAAGCTTTCCTCTTACCATTTTTTGTTGTTTGAACACCCTGGGGTTCTCAGAGCGGTAGACAAGCATAGGCTTCAGTCGGAAATCCCCTGAAGCATTGGCACCAAGCATTGGTTTATGCCCAGGTAAAGAGGTTTCTCTCTGGTGATGAATGTACTTTTGGGCATCTTTTTCCAAAACAGTACAGTTTCGTCCACATTGAACACCTGCTGTGGAAGATAATTTTCTTCTTCCATCAGTTCTTTAAACTCCACTAAAAACTTTGCTACCCCTTCCTTATCAGCACTAGCAGCCTCACCATGCCTAATAACACTGGAAATGTCACTTCTTTTCTTAAATTTTTCGAACCAGCCTTTGCTGGCCCTAAAATCTTCAAATTCTGTGCCTGAAGAACCAGGTTGATCTGTCTTTAAATGTTCGTATATCTCCCTGGCTCTTTCACAAATAAATTCAGTAGAAACTGAATCACCTTTCATCTGTTTTTCCCTAATCCAGATGAGAAGTAACCTCTCAGTTTCTGCAATTAGGGATCTAGTTTTAAACACTCTGGTAGATTTGTCTCTCACTTTCACTTCTTTAATTTTATAATTTCCTGCTTGGTTTGGATTGAAATAGATTTTCTTGATCTCTTAGGCCCCATGCTGGATTCAAACAATCTCAACACGTGATATTTTAAGTTTAAACTTGCTGTAAATAAAGAATATTTTCTTTAAAATAACACTGCACTGCGCTATATATTGTCAATATGTAAAATAAATTTCAAAATGACCAATAATTTGCTTGAAAACACAGAAAAAAGCATTTAGTTGAAGAGAGTCTCAAGCAAGATGTTACCTCCACTGAAAAGACAGAGACTAACACTTGTTTGGTGTGTTGACAGGCTGGATGGTGCGCATAAAACTAGTTTCATTACCTTCAACTATGTTCAATAGTTGTTAAAATTTAATATTAAACTTTTAAAATTACTGAATAGTATAAACTTCTTGATATTTACTAAAATAGTAAGGAATTTAAGTCCTAGAACCGATTACTGTATTGGCGGGCTAATACTACAGCTGGTTGACCGTTAAGTGCAAGCGAAAACATGTTCAGGTCGGCTCGTAAGAAACTCGTTAATCGAGGGATTTATAATGAGACAAACTCACATGAAGAAGATTACATATAGGTAGACTATTGATAGTAAGAGAATGTAAAAGAGAGGAAGACTTTGGTAGCGTGGCCGTGTTAGTTATTTGAACTGGACTTACACTTATCTGATCTTATACGTCAACACACATCTATTACGTCTTTAGGGCGACTCCTCAAACACCGCTTCGTTACAACTGTTTATTAATTACGACAATGACATGGACACATAAATAACACCTTCTATTGAAGTTACTAGGACATTATATTTACGTTACTAGGACATCATATTACGTTACTAGACACTCTGATTCTCGGACACGAACATGAAATGAATACACTTCCACGTAAGTAACTCATCCCATGGAAAGCTCTGACAAAAACTCACGTGACCTGGGGAAGGCCTATCAGGTGGTCCTGGGTTGTCTCTATGGGAGACTGCTTAGCTGGGCACCCGAGGGAAGTCTTGTGTGACTCTCCTCCCGTGAGCGGGACTGGGCTGTGGTGGACCTCCTCCTCCGATCCCAGTGTGTCTCTCTCTCTGACTCCCTCTCGCCGCTCCCCTGAAGGAGGGCTACGAGCGGGACTGGGGACATAGTAGCTGGCCCTTCCTGGTTACAAGACACTCTCTCTCGCTCTCCCTGCCCAGAGGGAGGACTCGGACGTCCCTATATTGGGAGGGCGAGCCGTCAATTGCCCACACATTTGCCCTGGCTAATGTAGGGTCAGGTCTGGACTTTTTCTGAGACTATAAGTTGTTGTATATTCTGGAGAAATCTTCAGATGAATGCCTGTCTGGTAACATCGTTGGTGGGGCCGTGTGATATGAGAGGCTCTGGTTGATTTGTGGCCCCTTGACTTGGGCTCGAGGGTTATATTTTACCTGATTAATGTGAGGGTAGGTCTGGGCCTTGTCTGGGATGTACAGTAGGTTCGCAGGTGGCTCCTTTGCTCACTGTGTGTCTTACATATTTGTTGGGGCCGTGTGACATGTGGAGGGGAGCCTGGTTGATTTATAACCCTTGGGCAGCCGCGAGGGTTACCCTTACACTTGACCCCCCTAAGGTCGGGTCAAGTCTGGACTGTTTCTGAGATGTAAGCTGTGGTCTGACAACCCATCACTACAGATTGCTCGTTAACCGAAGTTAAGAATCTTATGGAAGGTAACTCGTTAACCCAAATCTCGTTAACCGAGGCGCTCGTTAACCGAGGGATCACTGTACTGTAGTGGGTTTGTATTTAGAGAAGAAATACTAAAAATCAATTTAATTTAACTATCCTTAAAATGCTATACAGTCATCTTCATATTACAATATGCAGCAGACTGCTATCATAATTAGCAATATGTTCCATGTTTCCTGCCTGTTTAAATATATCCCAAGTTGAAGTCACACTAGTAATACAATGTGAACTATGCAAATGCTCCCTTCAGACTGATCACTGATGCTGCTTCCTCACCAATTAATATTAAAGTTCCTGTAAAGGTAGTACTGGCTTGTAAAAGGTTCTCATCATCATGACCATTACTACAAGGTGTTTCCAGCGTCACAGATGACATACTGATATTTGAAGTGGCATTAATGTGCATGGGCCACACCAGAGACTGACTGCCTCATCAAAATTCCTTGGGTTGGAATGCATCTAAGTTTCAACATGGGGTTTTGGATCAAAATTCCTTGGGCTAGAAGATATCTCATCTTTTAACATAGGATATTATTGGTAAATGGGTCTCACTGAACAAGAATCAACCTAATAAGAATTTTCTCAGGAACACATCTTGCTCATTCAGTGGGACCTGTCTGTACAAGACTACCTTAGAAATAGGTGACTATTTGAGAGAATAGAACTGTAATATATCATTCAATAGTGTGTACAGTAGATGGAGATAAAGGTTAGAAATACTTTTAAAAACTCTGAGGACGTGGGAGTGGTAACATGGAGGCGAAGTTCAAGGCGGTCCTCTGTGTGGGCATCCCAGCAGCGGAGGAGAAGACTAGAGAGTAAGGGAGCCAGGGCTAGCAAGAGTCGGGCGTCTCTCACAACCCAAATTACATGCACTCGCTCAGGCAACAGGGACTCACACCACCTGAAACATGGTGTACTGTTTAAACATTTAAAATCACATAACTATCTATTACCAACCCAGGGTATAAAATAAAACTGTGCAAGACTGAGTAACAATATATCTGTGGGAGTGTGAGTAACAATTCACAAAGCCATCCACAAGTCTGAGGAGAGGAAAAATGGGGAGTAATGATGATCTCCCATAAATCTGCTCACATGTTAATACTATAGGCAGTACAGTACTGCCACATGCACTGCACATAAAAACATCTAGGAGAGGTTTATTACAACTGTACTTACAAGATGTGAGAGAGGGTGGCAGCTAGAGGGGTAATGCCCACACCACCAGCAGCTCCCACCACCACAGGATACCGTAACATGTCTTCACTCGGGGAACTGAAGGGTCCATCTACACGCAGCCTGGTTCAACACAAACAAGAACCTAATAATTCTATTTACAGTTACATCTATAACTAAAAAATGAACAGTATAATTCTATTTACAGTTACATCTATAACTAAAAAATGAACAGTATATCTAAATATAATACAGTCAACCCTCACATTACGCGGTCCCACATTCCGCGGTGCCTTGCCAGAACCTAACATGCTCACATTCCGCGGTCGTGAACGCCATTACGCGGAGAGTGTCCGGCGCGACGCTATTTTTAGATTTGCCCCACGCGCCACCCACCCGCCCGCCTGCCTGCCTCTCCCTCCTCCTCCCTCCTCCTCCCTCCGCTTGGGCAAGCGGCGCGGTAAGGTTGCGCAGTGTGTGTCTTTGTTGCGTTATCACTGACGTCATATGACGTATCAGACCTGTGATTGGCCATGCATCCCTACCCCCCTCTGCTGCTAGCTGTAATTGGCTTAAAGTATTATGACGTGTCCACCCGGGGGAGGGAGGGAGGGAGGAGAGACGACGCTTGACCTAGCCGCGGCAGTTTCATCCCTCCAGGCCACTCCGTGTAAACGCGCATCCATTGTTCCGTAAAATGGCTTCCGCCGGACCACCACCCCCAGAGAAAAACCTTTCCTTACCTGGACCCAGCGGCACTAAACCAAAGAAGACACGACGTTCCTTAAGCTACGAGGTGAAGTATAGCATCATCCAAGAGTTGGAGAAAGGAACAAGGCAGGTTGATTTGGCGCGCCAGCATGGCGTGAACGAATCTACGATCTGGACGATAAAGAAGGATTCAGCCAAGATAAAGGAGCACATGAAGATCACAAAGTCTACAGGTGCTTCTATGATCAAGTATTTTCACAACCAGGTGCTTCTCAAGACAAAAAAATTACTTGTGAGGTACTTGGTGCGTCAGGCGCGACGGAACATGGCGGTCGACACGCGCTCTGTGAAGGACTACGCACGTGAACTGTACATGGCAGTGGCACGAAAGATGGGAACTTCAGAGCCCAAACCCTTTACTGCTTCCTCTGGGTGGTTACAGAGGTTTAAGATCCGGAACAAGATCACCAATATAAACATTGGTGGTGAAGAAGCGAGTGCTGATCGTGCTGCGGTTCGGGAATTTCCTCCGTTTTTACGTGAGATTATGGAAAAAACTACCTTCCAAGTCCTTCGTTGTGAAGAATGCCAGCAGGATTCGGGGCCGGAAAATGCAGAAGGAACGCATCACCGTCCTGTTTACCACCAATGCCTCCGGTACCTGTAAGCTCAAGTTATCGGTGATCCACACAGCCCGCAAGCCGCACGCCTACAAGAGCATGGACATGACCAAGCTAAATGTCCACTGGCTGACAGCACGTAAGGCATGGATGTTCTCTACACTGTCCCTCTCCTGGTTTGATGACTGTTTTGTTCCCGATGTAAAGAAATTCTGTGAGCGACAGAATGTCCCATTTAATATTTTGTTGCTGCTGGACAACGCACCAGGACACTCGCCCCTACTGTTAGATCGTCACCCCAACGTAAAAGTGGTCTTCCTTCCTCCCAACACTACGTCTTTAATCCAGCCCATGGACCAGGAGTTGATTTGCAATGTGAAAGCTGCATTCTCAACAAAAAAATTCCAGCTCCTGAACGACTACACCAACACCAGGGAAGAGTTGCGTAACCTGAGTGACACCACCACCGATAGCAAGAGCGACGAAGATGAGGAACAACAGTTAGAACAGCAAAAAATACTCTTCAAACAATTCTGGAGAGTATTTAACATCAAGAAAGCTGTGGACATCTTGGTGGAGTCATGGGATCAGCTGTCTATTGCTACAATTCGTCACGCATGGAGACATGTGTTGCATGGAATACCAGGTGAGAGGAGGAGTCAATCTGTGACTGGTGAGGTTCAGAATGTTGCAGTAGCAGTGGACCTTGCCAGAGAAGCTGCGCAGACTGTTACAGTTCCAGGCTTCTCCGAGACCACCAACGACGACATCCTGGAGGTGATCAGAAATCCTGAAGTGACTGCCGACGAGATGTTGGAAGAAGAACACGTCAGTGAAGAGGAGGAAGAAGGTGCGGCAGTCTCCGAAGAACACAATTTAAGTCAGAGTGATATTAAGGGTGCCATGGAGTGTGCAGAGAAGATGAAGTCCTTCCTTTCCCGCGACAATGACGATGACCGCTATGAAGTCTTCCATAACCGGCTGGTGCAGGCTATGGAGCCGTACATCAAGGTGTATCACGACAACATCAACGCCAGCCGTCAGCAAAGCATAACAGATTTCTTCACCCGCAACCCACCACAGCCAGCCCAAGCCAGTGATAGTGACAGTGAAGTTGACTTTGAGGGATTTGTCAGGGAAGCCCTGACAACTGTAAGTGACAGTGATGATGATTCACCTAGTAATGGTGATTCACCTGAGGGCCAGTAATCTGCCCTCTGCCTCGGAACCAGCCTCCATCCCCGTATGCCGACCCATCTCTTCTACTACCGTAAGTGTTCCACATAATTTTTAGTTTTCTAACCTTACCTTTATTTTTCCTATGTTAACCTTTATCTTTCCTAACCTAACCTCTTCTATATTACTTGTTTTTTCATACCATCATAAAGTTAAGATAAAATTTTTACTGCAACATAGTTATGTGTCGTCAAAAAGTGGAGTTTGGGGATCGGCCTGGACTCCATTTCAATTAATCCCATATGTTATGTTGTTCACTTTACGCGTTCCTCACTTTCCGCGGTACCCTCCGGGTTACATTAACCGCGTAATGTGAGACCCAACTGTATAAAAATTCTATTGTTATTTTTTCCACTGCCTTCTGTTGACTGACATTCTTGTCTTTCTCCATTGATATAGCTTTTTAAGATAGGTACTGACACTCATCATTGTTATAATCACTATTTTGTGGCTACTTGGTGTTGTGAAGGCACCAAGTGTGAGGTCATTCAAGACCAGACTTTACCAACACTGGTGCAGGTACAGATACATCCTGGAGCTAGTACACGCCCAGTAAATGGAAACAGTGTGTAACACAGATGTGACTGACTGCCTGTGGCTAATAGGCTGATCAGTGGCAAAGGGGATAAGTAAAGTAAAGTAAAGTACAGTAAAGTATATATATATATATATATATATATATATATATATAATATATATATATATATATATATATATATATATATATATATATATATATATATATATATATATATATATATATATATATATATATATATATATATATATATATATATATATATATATATATATAAATAAAAGACTGCCTTGTTTTACCTTACGTATGATGGTGTCGTCACTTGGATGATATGGTGTGTTTTGTCCGCAGCTGAACCTTGACATTCACTTTGAAATGACCCTTTTGTGCCCGAGTCAGAGTTTGTGTTTATAAATGAACTTGTGTGAGTGACAGGTTGTGAATTACTTAAGTGTGTGTTTAATGCATGATGTGTTGATGGTTCAGAATGTACATCTAAACTTAAACAATGAGGATGTGATTTTAAATATTTAGAATATCTATTATGCTGAAGATGGGAGTTTTTTGAGTATGGATGTAGCCTCCTTGACTGCACCATTAGTGAATGTTGACTAGTTCTCAGAAGAGGTAAATGTGAGTTAGAGGAACTTAAGTTCACTTTGTTATAGTCAGAGTGACCATTAGACTCTGAAGTTGATGTAGTTGATATAGATTTTCTTTCTAAATAATTATTTCTTTTAATGTTACAATCAATGGATGAAAATGAACAAGCTTTGAATTCCTCTACAGTAGGCATGCTTGAGTATGTGGGTGCACACTGAGAGGGATGAACAAACACTGGATTTGTACAGAGATGACGGTGGGGAGCGATGGAAGCACGTGAGGTGGAGTGGTAGTATGATAGTGGACTAGATTGTATAAGTGGACTAGATAGCGTTCCTTGACTAGAGTGTATTGTTGATTCAGGGCATAATGAGTCATTGACTGGCCAGTGAACAGCTTGTGACAGAGGACTCGACTCTCCGTCAGAGCGTAGGAGAGCTGCCACACGGCCACTCCAGTCCCCTCTAACCCGCATAAAGATAGTAAATGTATCAGGCGAGTGCTGGATTGGTGGCTGTGAAGGAAGAACATAGATGGTGTTATCAGTCATTTCAAAATTAAAACATCTTGCATGAAGTTAAAGTTCGTATAAATAGAGTAATCCCATACAATCATAATTTTATCTTCTAAACTCATGAGTGTCATATTAAAATCGGGTGACTTTGATCCAGGAGATTGTGAATCTAAAATTTAGCCACGGTTTAACATTTACACGTCCCATGTCACACTCAAGTCACTTGTCATCATTACACTCTCAATCAGATGTCCTCAAACAATTTTGTATTACTCTTGAAGCTGTGCCTCACTAAAGAACATTTCTCATGCAGAAACACTTACTGGGTAAAGGTCAATCACAATTACCCTGTAATTGTAATACTGCACAAAGGAGAGATGTGTGCATGATCTCCAACTCAAGACTGATCATCAGCTGACCATGACCACCCTGCACAAGCTAGCTAGTATTGTACATCCATCTACACCCACTATTAACACTCGTTGATGTTAAAACAATAAGCACTTAATAGCTGTAGGAATGCATAAAAGAATTACCATCTACGAGTACATATACTGTACATGTTGTGATAATGATTGATTTATTATTGAGAAGCCAATCATCAGCTGTTGTTCCTTCACCACGCTCATGTTGTTTAATAACGTTTAATTTCACCTCTAAAATAACACTCCTCCACTGTTTCATGATAAAAGGTGTTTGGTGAAGCACTGGGACATAATTTTGTACTCATTATGCATTACAGTATTGGGGGAGGAGGGGGGGGGGGTTAAAGAAATAATTACTTACATATGTCCAATGAACTATTTACTTAAATGAACACAAGTAAATTGTCCCTTTTTTACCATTTTGTTCTTTCTCCACCTCTCTCTTCAACATGTTTACTTTTATCCTCTTCACCAAGAATCTGGAGGGGGAAAAAAAAGTACTGGTGTGTATCTCTGACAGTGCCATCACAATGGTTCCCAAAACTGTGTGGCAGCATTTTGTGTAAAGCAGGACACTCACCTGAGAGTATCAGTCATTAGTAAGCAGGCACTTCATGCTGAGTGGGGGTCACAAAACTGCTGTTGACACTGTGTGTAGCCAAGTCACCTACGGGATGCGAGTCAGTTGGGTTAGTGAGCTAAGGTCAAGTGTACAGACAGAGTATACATGTTACAAGATGATTAGGAAACCAAAATTTTAAAAAATTAGCTGCTAAATTTAACAATGTATACAAAGGTAAAATTTACTTTGAATAAAAAACAAAAATCTATCTTCAGTAAAATGAAACTGATAGAGTAAATATATATAAATCAGAAGCAATGCATTATTATTCCCACAAAACTACCTTGGGAACATACTTCTGTAACAGGACACTAATTCAAGATTCTTAAGTTTTCTTATTGCTTTTATTTTCCTTTAGAAATATGACTCATTCTTCACCTGGTTTCACATACAGCACAACAAACAGATAATGTACCAGTAGATACCCTAATTATTTGTTGCCACTACTGTGGACAATAACCCAAATGAAGACAGACGATGGTAAAAAAAGCATCATTCAAAATTGAAATTTTTCAACTTCAAGTCTAACTGATACATTCACCTGACCCAAATCTTTGACATTTAATGAATCTTCAAGATATTTCCTTACTTGTTGCTATATGAACAATAGCCTTTCACAAACGTAATCTCACCCCACACTCCTAAGTTATGTCTATATATTTTTGGTTGAAGCATTAGTAGTGTGTAAGCAGTTATTGAAGCAAGGCAAAGAGCATCAACTGAGAAAGGAAGATACTCACGGAGGTCACAGTGAATGGATGCCACTCAAACCTTGACACTGTCGGGCACTGCACCAGTACATACTGACGACAGACAATGGAACATGTTAGGACATCTACACTTTCTAAAACTACACATAGAAATTAATCACAAAGGATTCTGCACCGAAATGCCACAAGAGGAAAATTAAGACTTACAAAGAGTACATGATTATCTGCATATTCTTCCTCTTTGAGTGTGAATAAGGTACAGTATAATAAAGAATTAAAAGAATACTACTTGGCTTACACAGTTACTCTATGAAATACCAAACTTCACACTGAGAAAGAAAAGAAATTAAAAGCAAAATGAATGAAGAAATTTTAGGTGATGAAAGACACACACCAAAACAAGCCTATTAATCAGCTATGATATAAGAGATGTTGGCTTGGTCAACTCACCTGGCCAGGAGTGCAGGAGAAGCCACACTGTCTGAGGGTGAGCTGCACCACATCACAGGGGTGGTACGTCACGCCCACCACCTCCACGCTCTCACGCCGCCGCCAACACCTCACAGCCCAGTCTGCTCCCCACACTGTCAGTGCTACCATAACCCACACCCAAGTCTGGTCAAAACAAGAACGAAACATTGAAAAATAAAACTTAAAAACCATATATTGTCACATAATGAAAGTTCTTAAGATTAAAACTGATACTTCTCTCAAGGGAAATTGAACTGGGAATAGATCTTATTCATTTATTTCCTTTATCTTACTACAGTACCTAGTTAAGTGGAAAAGGCAAAGTTTCCCATTCTCAAGATGGATTATTTTATATTCCCTGGTGTCTGACATTGTACACAACAGAACTATACTAGATATATGGTAAGTATTGATCTATAATCTTTCTTATCATCATTCAGTATACAGCTCTAACGTACAAAAATGTCATTCCTGATTACCTGAGAGGTGATAGAGCCAAATACTGGTGCTTTTAGACAATTCCTTCGCTTTTTCCAGCCAAGTGATCTCTTTACTCCCTCATGACCTGCTTCACTACCATCTACTGCCTCTGAGACCTCTGCAAGTGCCAATATGTGCTCATAAAAGTACAGTACAGTATATCAACATAAAATAGCCACCATCAATTTTTTTTATTATGTTCCTCTGATACAAAATTAACAAGTTATGCAGTACTGTAATATCATATATAAAGTGCTGTAAGGTCTAAATGATGTAAACCACAAAGTACCAGCAATAAACATTAATATCACTTAACCCCTTGTGTACAGGTTCATCTCCGAGCTGAATAAAATCATCTGGCGCTGGTCAAATAATACCGTACGTATATTAAAGGTGGCATCCCCTTAGTGAAGGGGTTAAATGGTATAAAATATGAACATGTTCCAATTTGAAGACCATCAACTACTACCTGTTATTATGATGTTGCAAAATGGTAAAAAAAAAAGTCTTTCCTATTATTTTATTAAGGAATAAAACAAATTCAATCTGTCTCCTGGTGATAGTGTCCACATACCTTTGTTCATTGAGTAATGACGATTAACTTTAGGTCCTGAGAGGCTAAAACTGGAATCAGATTCACGAGGAACATAATTTTCATGATGTTCTAGGAAGCCATAGTCTGAATCTGATTGAGTGAAGCCATAGTCTGAGTCAGGTTCAGGGAAGCCATATTCTGAATCTGATTCGGGGAAGCCATTGTCCGAGTCAGGTTCAGGAAAGCCATAGTCCGAGTCAGGTTCAGAAAAGCCATAATCTGAATCAGGTTCGGGAAAGCCATAGTCCGAGTCAGGTTCAGGAAAGCCATAATCTGAATCATGTTCAGGAAAGCCATAATCTGAATCAGGTTCAGGAAAGCCATAATCAGAATCAGGTTCAGGAAAGCCATAATCTGAATCAGGTTCAAGGTAGGTAGTCTCTGAGTGGACAGCTGTTTTCTGACTGTTGTGCTCCAAGTGCTCAGGGATGGTCAACTTGCTGTCCGGGGATACTTGACCCCTCACTGAGCCCACCCCGGGAGACCCTGGAGACAACAATAAAATTTGGCAACATAAAAAAATAAATAAACAATAATAAAAGAAACATTCAACATACATCACAACATAAAAAAAAAAAAAAAGAGAGATCTAATGAGTGGTAGAACTAACATTGAAATGTGTCTTCTATATTCAATTAGCTCATTAATGTTTGTAGTAAATTAGTTTCATGATTATAATATGTACAGATTTAGGTACAGTATATCAATTATGAGAGGTAATGTGGATGTGAATTTCTACTAGGTACAGTATATCACCAAGAGAGAAGTGTGGCGATTAAAACAAGCAAGAGATAAATATAACATTTCTCCATCACCTGTACTCAACACTTAACCTCAACATTACTGTAAGAACTCTAAGCATCCACCATCATGTACTCTATGTCCAGCACCAATTTATCCACAGCGTAGCACCAATTAAAACAAAATTATCCAAGCATGGTTAATGGCTGGATGATGATGATGATGATGATGATGATGATGATGATGATGATGATTAAAAGTCAGTCGCCGAATTGGTAGTAGTCACGATGGATGTCCGTGGATGAGATCAAAGTAGGTAAGCCAATCGTGTTATAGATACCTTCCTGGTTAGTGTGTGAGTCTGCATACACCTGACACCCCGGGATGTGACCGTGGAGATTCTTCTGCTCCTTCAGAACACCACTGTGGGGAAGGGTCATAACAGCCGCCCAGATTAACAACATGTTATTCATCCCTACCTTTCTCCTTTATCATTATTACATTAAGCTCGATATCATTCACAAATATGTACACCAATCACTCAACATCACTTAATATCAATAACTTAACAAAAACAGTTTAAGTTAAGGGCTGTAATGAGGAGTTGGTTCCTCATTTATTCTTTATACGACAACTTGGTAATAACTTAATGCGTACCAGTAATGTGTGACAATTGATAGTACAGTATTGTATCTAAGTTTTTCGTGTAGTTATGACATAAACCAAAATACATCTGACTGTACACTTTAAGACAATACCCAATAGATATAAGATATACACCCTGTAATTATTTGACAAAGGTTAATAATAGCTATAATACAGTACTGTATCTAACTGCTTATCAATGGAGGTCCACCAGAATTACAATCTTTGCATACCCTTGAAAAGCATTAGAAATCACATTCCTATTGTTATAGTGAAACAGCTATTTAATGGACTAAAGAAGAGGAAAGTCCATTATATCGAGGGTCTGTTAGATGTGAAACACCCCACCTAATGGATTATATGGAAAAAGAAGTCCATTATATAGAGGTTTTACTGTAATCCAAGAGGATTACAGTTAATTGTCATAAGCTGAATGGCATCATAAACTAAGTAAGGAAGTGACCAGAATCTAAAAAAATCTAACATAACCGTGTATACAAGTTAGTTCATATATAATAACTGTACCAAGGGATAAATTATTACAACACAGTTTACACAAGACAATGGTGTATCCTAACACTGTACAAAAGTGACAGGACAGACAGCACAAAAAACACTCCATGGACTCAGGGTTGTGACATCATCAACCATCAAGGAAGAAATCCGAGTGTTAGTGTAAGATATAAGAGGTTGGGCATAATAATTATACCTATGTTTGTGTTTTTTTGACATTTTTCATACATAATTTAGGAGAAGGGATTATAAAAATTTACTCTGACATCGTTAAATTTGACCTGTAACCCCTAGATCAAATGTACTATCTCTGTCATTTTTTTTCCACCATCTTCTATCACTGTACTAAGCCTTCAGTATGTAAGGATTGTACCCCAGGATCAAATAAATGACACTGCATGAGAGGAGAGCAGTGTATGTATTCTATCCACTTGACCGCTGGACCTCAATAATTATAATCTACTGTAAAATACTAAAGTAATGATACAGTATTTCAACAACAAACCAAAAGTACGTACGTGATTGGATGAATAATGAGGAGTAGGAGGAAGAGCAGACCAAGGTGGTGCGTGTAAAAGAAGATGTCGTAGTTCCTCCGTCTGGCCCAGCGAGTAGATGTGACCACTAACACAGCCAGCACCACTATCATCAACACCCCTGTTACACCTGGAACTGTAACCAGAGACACTTATTTACCATGTACGGTCATTTACAGGGAGGTAGTAATGTCCTCAGTGAAACAATATTGCTCCCTAACACACTTTAAAATCATCATCAAAATGGAGAACTCTAAAATTGGTTTTACTGACTTGGAAATTACAATATTTGAATTGAATTTTAAGCAAGTGAACAATGTGTAAAGGATCACCGGAAGAATGTCCACCCCAGCTTATTTCACCTTAAGATTAACCACCCTAACTCTAACCTAACCTAACCTAACCTTATCTAAACACCTTACCTCAACCCCCCCAAATAGTGTTAGGGTGGTTAATGTTTAAGTGAAATAAGCTAAGGTGGACATTCTTCAGATGATACACAATAAATGGGTAATTGTGCAGATTACAGAAACCAAAGAATTCCGGAAATTCACTTCACTCAATCGATAGAACTATTTTTTCTATTATATATTTCTTATACAGGTATACACTTCTGTCGCAAATTTGCAATAATAAAGTTGTTGAATCTTTAAAAAGAATAATATCAGAGCAGCTGTCCCTGACTTAGACTCAGACCCTGACTCGGAGTAAGGTAAGAAATACTGTAATGGCTATTTATATTATTATGGAGGCTGACCACACAACTCTGGGTTACCTAGCATATGGCCCAAGCCGGGGGTCCGTTTAGGTGGTTAGGTAAGGTCTTGCTTGGTTGGATTGTATAATCCACAAATTATTCGCTTTTTTGCTCTCCACCACCCAAAACCCAGAATTCCCACGCTCTTCCCCAGTACTGTTATGGAGGGGGGGGGGGGCTAAATCACAAACGAGTGATTTCCGACAAAAACGAAGGTAAGACTTTAACTAATCACATCAAAATCCATCGGAAAACCATTTTTTTTTTAAATTCCATGGTTTCTGTAATATGCACATTTACCAATAAATGTCCTGAGGTCCAGTATTAGACGAAGCTACAAGTCTGACAAGTTCCAAATTACTATATAACAGGACTCACGATCGTGGACTAATTTGTTTGCAAGAAGTGAAAGAAACAAGGGAATAAGAATGTGCCACCCCCCCCCCCCCTTGTGGACAGCTGTGGTGGATGACATACCTGTTGTCACGAAGATCCACAATGGACTCTGTAAATAACATAATACAGGTAAGTTCTGAGCGATGGCAAGTTATTAAGAGTTAGACAGGTAATAATACTAATGGACAGAATAATAACATCCCTATGTATCTTATTTACTATTTAAATATATATAAACGACAAGGAATTAAATGATTAATATTCGGTATCATAAATATCATACAAAAAATAAAATACTGCATATATATAAAATTATTCAGGATAACTTCTTTCCGAGACTACAATGTAAACATAAAATATACTAAAAATAACCTGAAGAGAAAGAAACACCTCGTACATAATTATGAGCTGATTGGTGAAATTAAAAAGGAGTGAGAGAAATAGAGAAGAATTAATGGGAAAAATTGATAGAAAAGGTAACAATAAAAAGAAGTTACTGTAGATTTACCTCGCCTCTGTAAGTGGCTACGTTTAGGTCAGGGTAGAGGCTGCTGTAGTGGCGTGAGAAGTTAACGGCGTTGGAGATATGGGCACCCGTGTGTACCACTGTAAACATAAAGAGGTGTTTTAATGTAAGAAAACACACACACACACATTCCTTCTTCCTTTCTGACAGCGATTCATCTATCCACTCCCTCACCACGTCTCCCAAGGCTCGTGAGAGACAGTATGCAAAGTGACCTCAATGCAGCAGTTGTAGCTAACCACAAGGCTGGCCATATACTGGGTCAGCAGCGGCGGCGGGGAGTAAAGGGAGAGGAGGGGGAAGGGAGAGGAGGGAAGTTAGAGAGGGGGAAGGGAGTGTAACTATAACAAGCCGCCAGACTGATAAGGCATCTTAACAGCTCCACCAGTCTAACACCACCGCTTGCAGAGGAAACACACACACACACGACCGTCACGATATTGGATTCCTCGTGTTATCATTCGCCGTAGCTTGGGATGACAACATGCGTATAACTGTTAATTTTCGATATTTTTGGCTCCAAACTTTATTATTTATGAAGCCTGGTAGAAGCAGCCAAGGTCTATTATTTATGAAGCCTGGTAGTAGAAGCGAAGGTCTTATTTATGAAGCTTCGTAGAAGCCAAGGTCTATTATTTATGAGCCTGGTAGCCAAGGTCTATTATTTATGAAGCCTGGTAGTAGAAGCCAAGGTCTATTATTTAAGAAGCCTGGTAGAAGCCAAGGTCTATTATTTATGAAGCCTTTGTATAGAAGCGTTTCTGCATTTCCACTGTGAGGAAAGTATCGTATTAGTGCTTTGGGAAGGAGGAGGGGAGAAAAGGAGGAGAGGGGAAGAGGAGGAGGAGGGGGAAGAGGAGGAGGAGGGGAGAAGAGGAGGAGGGGGATAGGTAGAGTGGAGGGAAGAGAAAGGGAGGGGAAGAGGAAGAGAGGAGAGAGAAAGTAGAAGGAAGCTTAGTGAGTGTGTGGGAGAAGCATTCACTCAATCACTCCTACTCACTTACTCTCACTCAATCACTCACTCTAAATCACTCTTCTTTACTCACTCACTCACTCTCACCTGTACTGATCACCAACGTCGCAGCAACCAACAGATGAGTGCTCTTGGCAGCGTGAGTGGCGGGGGCGGCAAGGGCGGCTGGGAGGGCGGGCGGGCGGCGGTGAGGGTTGCGGTGGGTGACGGTGGCCAGGGCGGAGGTGAGGGCGGTGGTGAGGGCACGGCACATGGGCATCACCAGCATACAACAAGAGAGATTCAACACCGCAGCTGACCCCCTCGATACACACAGTCCCACCTACAAGAGGAAATGACGAGTTTTGTAGTTGTGACGAGCTTTGAATAGTTTCATGACGTGTGACGAGTTTTGTAGTTATTGAGACGTGTTTTGTAGAGTTTTGTGACGTGTGACGAGTTTTGTAGTTATTGAGACGAGTTTTGTAGAGTTTTGTGACGTGTGACGAGTTTTGTAGTTATTGAGACAAGTTTTGTGACGTGTGACGAGTTTTGTAGTTATTGAGACGAGTTTTGTGACGTGTGACGATTTTTGTATCATAACATATACATCTGTAACGCCAGGTATAAATAACCTTACCTTTTAACTAACGCTGTAACACCTTATCCAGGAGGTAGATATGTTAGGTTTCGTCACGCCTAAAGGCTCCACCGTAAAGGGAGGGGAAGAGGAAGAGGAGTAGGGGGAAGAGAGGAGAGAGAAAGTAGAAGGAAGCTTAGTGAGTGTGTGGGAGAAGCATTCACTATTCTAGAACGGGGTGGTAATATCGACAATATTTACCTAGATTTTGCCAAGGCTTTCGACAGTGTACCCCACGAAAGGCTGAAAATCAAACTGGAAGGGTACGGAATTCGGGGAAATGTCCTAGCGTGGATAGAAGACTTTCTACATGACCGCAAGAAATGTGTGGTGATTAATGGCACGAAATCGTCATCTGTACCTGTAACAAGTGGGGTACCGCAGGGTAGTGTATTGGGCCCGCTGTTGTTTGTTTGTTTCATAAATGATATGCCTGACGTTGTACACTCCTCCATACAAATGTTTGCCGATGACGCCAAGTTATTTCGGGAAATTAAGAACCAAGCGGACTGTGAAGAGCTGCAGAAGGACCTCTGTGGGCTCCAGGAATGGTCGAAGGAATGGCTGCTGAGATTCAATGTCACGAAGTGTAAGAGGATGCACCTGGGGCGTACCAACGGTAAGGAGGCGTACCATATGTCCCAACGGGATGAAGAAAATGTACTAGTTGAGACTGTGTGTGAGAAGGACCTAGGTGTGTATGTTGACAATGAGCTGAAGTTCTCGGGCCATTGTGAGAAGAAGGTAAATCAGGCAAATAAATTATTGGGTCTTATAAGAAGGTCGTTCAGATATCTAGACGGTCCGTCCCTCGTGACGATCTTCAGGAGTGAAGTGCTTCCCCATCTGGAGTACTGTCACCCCATCTGGTCCCCGAGATATGCTAGGGACTGTCAGTTGGTTGAAAATGTTCAAAGGAGGGCCACCAAACTGGTGCCTGCACTTCGGCATCTCAGCTACCCTGAGAGATTGGAGCGCCTGAACTTGCCTAGCTTATACTACAGACGGGTAAGGGGGGACCTAGTTGAGGTTTATAAGCATCTCAGGGGGCACTACTCAGTTGAGTGTCCTTACTTGGAGCTGGCGGACGCTCGCCCCACAAGAGGTCACAGCTCAAGATTGAAGAAGCCGCAAGTCCAGAAAACCGTGAGGGCAAACTTTGTCGGAGTGAGGGTTGTAAACTCTTGGAACAATCTACCAGAGAGTGTTGTGACGGCACCGAGTGTGAGCTCTTTCAAGAGAAGACTTGACCAACACTGGAGCGGGTTCAGGTACATTCAGGAGCCGGTGCATGCCCAGTATTTGCCAACAGTGCGTGAGACGTGACCGATCGCCCGGGCGGCTAGCGAGCCGACCTTTTGGTGAAGAATATAAAGGAAAAGAGACGTGACCGATCGCCCAAGCGGCTAACAAGCCGATCAGTGGCGAAGAGGATAAAAGTAAAAAAGTAAAAGTAACACTAGTAACAGGAGGTTGTGTAACGCATTGTACACGTGGATCTTGACTCATAGATTAATAACATGACTGGTGGTGTGACAGGACAATTAATTGGTCGACTGGTGGTGTGACAAGACAATTAACTGGTCGACTGATGGTGTGATAAGACAATTAATTGGTCGACCGGTGGTATGACAAGACACTTAATTGGTCGACTGTTGGTGTGACAAGACAATTAATTGGTCGACCGGTGGTGTGACAAGACAATTAATTGGTCGACTGGTGGTGTGACAAGACAATTAATTGGTCGACTGGTGGTGTGACAAGACAATTAATTGGTCGACTGGTGGTGTGACAAGACAATTAATTGGTCGACTGGTGGTGTGACAAGACACTTAATTGGTCGACTGTTGGTGTGACAAGACAATTAATTGGTCTACCGGTGGTGTGACAAGACAATTAATTGGTCGACTGGTGGTGTGATAAGACAATTAATTGGTCGACTGTTGGTGTGACAAGACAATTAATTGGTCTACCGGTGGTGTGACAAGACAATTAATTGGTCGACTGGTGGTGTGATAAGACAATTAATTGGTCGACTGGTGGTGTGACAAGACACTTAATTGGTCGACTGGTGGTGTGACAAGACACTAATTGTCGACTGTTGGTGATAAGACAATTAATTGGTCGACTGTTGGTGTGACAAGACATTAATTGGTCTACCGGTATTGGTGACAAGACAATTAATTGGTCGACTGGTGGTGTGATAAGACAATTAATTGGTCGACTGGTGGTGTGACAAGACACTTAATTGGTCGACTGGTGGTGTGACAAGACAAATCTGACAGACTCTACTGTACCTTAACTCGACACGTGTAGGTGATAGTGGGTGTAGGTGCATAGGAGAGGGTGTAGGAGAGGGTGTAGGAGAGCGTGTGGGTGTAGCAAGGTGGTAATAGTTGAGTCTTGGGGATAATGGGTGTAAATGATGGTGTATAAGAGAGGGTGTAGGACTGTAGGTGATAGTGGGTGTAGGTTACAGCAGGTGTAGGCGAGCATAGTACACTCACCCCCAACATCCTGCGGGTGTAGAAGTACTGGGGCTCCCTCTTGTACTTCATGTAATCACCGTAGAACACGCCACTACACGCCGCCGTCCACGCCATCTGCAACACAACAACGTCATTAACACGTCATCATGGGCAATTAATACGTCATCACAGGCGAATAATACGTCATCAATACGTCATTACCACGGATGCACAGGTAAACCAACAGTATCTGCAGAAGAGAGAGAGGGAGGAGTGGTGAGAGGGGACGAAGAGGAGTGGGTGACAGGGTATGAGGATGACTGGGAGGTGAGAGGGGACGAGGAGGAGGAGGAGGAGTGGGCGAGAGAGGACGGGTCCACATATGGTGCCACACTATAGCGGTGCATAATAAAGTGGCGCTAGTCGGCCCCTTGTATGGCGTGAGGGTCGTACGTGTGTTATCACCAGCACCACCACCTCTCCAGACCCACCCTCCCTCCCCCCGAGACACTGGGAGGATGTAGAACAGGGTGTGAACATTGTACAAGGAGTGTATGTGTATGCAAACAAAACACAGGGTGTGGGGGAGGGGAGGAGTATGTGTACACTAACCATGTACACCTAGTTGTGTATACAGTATGACGCAGTGTACACGGAGGAACATCATAAGGTCATGTTGGTCACACACACACACACACACACACACACACACACACACACACACACAATACCTGGAGTTCATATAATAATTACTATTCCTCACAGGTGTACAAATCCTCACCCCCCCAACTAATCTCCCTACAATATTCTCCGTATCTGTCTAATAAATCCTTAGCCTCCCTTTGTCGTCTCCCTTTTTTATATGCTCTAATCCCCCTAAACCGACCTAATCTCTGTGGATAAAATGATTCAGCCTCCGGTATATAAGAAAATAACTTTATATAGGTCTTGTGGTGTATTGTAAGTCCCGTTGAGATGGTTATATACACCGTGTGAGGCCCCAGTACATGGCTTGTGTACGTGTATCTTTTAAGTTGTCCAGTACACTCATACACACAACAGTATACACAAGACTCGCATATGTGATAGAGGTGTGTACATATAGATCCGTACATGATTAAGGTGTACACATAGCAAACAGACCACCAAACACACTCTCCGTCTCTCCCCTCACGGACGTAGTTACACACACACAAACCGCACCGCCATACACACACACACAAATCCCATAACCACGGCCATACACACACACACAAATCCCATAACCACGGCCATACACACACAAAATCCCATAACCACGGCCATACACACACACAAATCCCATAACCGGCCATACACACACACAATCCCATAACAAATCCCACCATACACACACACAAATCCCACAACCACGGCCATACACACACACACAAATCCCATAACCACGGCCATACACACACACAAATCCCATAACCACGGCCATACACACACACAAATCCCATAACCACGGCCATACACACACACAAATCCCATAACCACGGCCATACACACACACGTCCTCCTGCCATAGATATGTCAGCCCTGCCCTAAAAAACCAGCAGGAGCCATGAGTGGTTGAGGCGGTGAGGGGGATGGGGTCATGGTGGGTGGTCCAAAGCTCCCTCCCTCCCTTCTCTCCCTACCTTACCTCCCTTTCTAAACTAACCTCTCCCTCACACCACAAACACCTAGACTACAGTATACCTCTACAGTGTAACATGTACAGTATAACACCTCACGAGCTCTGTGTGTGTGTGTGTGTGTGTGTGTGTGTGTGTGTGTGTGTGTGTGTGTCCTCAAAAACTCATACAAAACTCTACACCAGTGGTGTCAAACTCAAAACCTTTCGAGGGCCAATTCTTATTTTAGTTACCCTCTTCAGGGCCAACACAAGTGCTGTATCACATATTTGCAGGATTGAAGTTTACAGCTTCACACATTGCCTTACCAGGCATACCTTATTTGGGTTTGTCTGATCTTAAGTATGTAAAATTCATTTTACTAAATAAACATGATTATATCTATTTGTTTCATAATTTCATGGGATGATAAATTTTACCGTCATCCCGCGGGCCACACCTGACCATCTCAAGGGCCACATTTGGCCCGCGGGCCATGACTTGGACACCCCTGCTCTACACCGTCATGTTTGTCAGTGATACACAAATTATTATTATTATTTAACTTAGAATCCTGACTAGCTTGAAATACTCCTCCCCAAAATGGCCACAACTTAGCTCTCTGCACCCTTATCAAACACCATTCAGAGTTGTAATGTTTGTTTGTTTTCTCTCTCTAAAGATGAAGGAACGCGTCTAATTAAGTTGGGAGTCTTAGGTTGGGATTCTTAAAGTTTGGAGTCTTTAAAGTTGGGAGTCTTTCGTCTTAAGTTGGAGGGTTAGAGGAGGAGGGGGAGGAAGGGGTAGAGCAGAAGAAGGGAGGGACGGAAAAGGAAAGGAAGAGGGTGGAGGGAGGAGAAAGGGGAGGAAGGAAGGGGGTGAAGGACGAGAGAGGGAGGAAGGAAGGAAGGAAGGAGTAGAGGAGGAAGCCAGGAGGAGGAGGAAGGAAGGGGTAGAGGAGGAGGGGGAGGGAGAAGGGGTAGAGGAGGAGGGGGGGAGAGAGGAATTAGAGGGAGGGAGGGAGGAAGGGAAGGGGTAGAGGAGGAGGGGGAGGGAAGGAAGGGTAGAGGAGGGAGGCGGGGAAGAGAAAGGGAGGAAGGGAAGGGGTGAGAGGAGGAGGGGGGAGGAAGGGAGGAATTGCCAGGGGAGGGGGAGGGAAGGAAGGGGTAGAGGAGGGAGGAGGCAGGTGAGGGTAGACGAAGAAGGGAGGCAGAGAAGGAGAAGGAGGCATGAAGGAGGTAGAGAGACAGGGAGAAGGAGAGGGAGGTAGGAAGAGGTAGAGGGAGACAGGGAGGGGGTAGAGGAGGGAGAAAGATGGTGTCTTTTACAACTCAGGATATGAATCGACTCGCCACACTGAGCGGTGACGTGTGTGTGTGTGTGTGTGTGTGATTATGTGACCCTGTGTGTGCATGTGCGTGTTTGGGGGGGCAGGCACGTGTATGTATGTATCAATGTGCACGTGTCTATGTATGTCAGTATAAAAAAGTTACTTCCCTGACACCGCCACTTGTACCTGAGAGTAAAACCAGTTTAATCCCGACACACGCCCACTTAGTGTACACCACCACCTGTTTAACATGTCGGTGTGGTGGTGTTGTGGTGGTGTTGTGGTGGTGTTGTGGTGGTG